AGAGAGAGAGAGAGAGAGAGAGAGAGAGAGAGAGAGAGAGAGAGAGAGAGAGAGAGAGAGAGAGAGACCTGTCAAGCCCTGGTGAAGCCTGAGCCCTTTAACTTGAAAGACCTCTTCCAGTTTGCAGACAGCCCTAGAAGCACTTCCTTGGGCCATGCTGGCACTGTCATGGGGTGATATGTACATGTCTTGAGCATTTGCCAAATCCCAACGCACCACTCCCCCGACATCGACTACATGGAGTGCATGCGTGAACACTGCCCTCCCTAGTTCCACATCCGGCAGCTGATCCTTCAGGTACTCCTCTTGCGACTTAGGAAAGGCTTGCAGCCTCAGCCGCTCCTCAACGGACGACAAACCCGTGGCCCCCAAGCCATGTCCACTGCCTGAAACTGGCAGATCAATCATCACACCTGCTTGATGCGCCGCACTGGCCACGTTCCCATTCCCCTCCTCTTCCTGAAGAGATGGAATACGCTGCTGTGCCACGCATACGCCATTACCAGAAGACGTTAGCTGAGGGGCTTCTGAAACTGCCGATCCATCCTCGCATAACATTTGCCCATCATGATGATTGGATTGGCGATTGGGATGCAGAAGCTCCTTTTGTAAGGAGGCGAACATAGCAGTAACATGACGCGCCACCTCATCACAGCCGGCTGCGACGTGGCGACACCAATAGATGCGCACAATGTATCTGTTGCACACAATATCATGCCCATGCAGTAGTCAAACCATTTTCTCGAAGACACAAAAATAAAACTCTGAAAGACGCAACAGGAAAGGGTACCAACTTACCCAGCAAAGGCGGAGTAGCGATAAATCATAAATCCTTCCTCTTACAAGGAAGTAATCAATGTCCCTGTCTCAGAATCCTTCATTCAGCCATAATGGAAGGAAGCGTTGTGTGGGTTATCGATGCAAGGGACGACGAGCCGGTTTCCAGCATATGTAATAAAGCTTCCATCTTAAGAAGAAACAATAAAAAAAGGAAATCCAGAAAAGTTGGGGGGAGAGGATCACGAAGTTGATGCGACTTTGTTACCCTGGTACATTCCACTGTGTCTCAGGAAAAAAATTAAAACACACTAGGCTACTTGGCTCACCTGCTGTGCAGCCCGGCCATGCAGCCCGGGCAAGTCCCCTGGGGGCCACCTGCACGGGGCACCTCATGCAGACAAAAAACAGCCCTTTTTTTTGTTCTTTTTTGGGCTGGAGGTTTTCTGCCCATGGCCAGAGGAGCCCAAGACCGGGCTCCTTTCTTTTGTGGAGTGTTGGCTGTCAAGGGGGAGGAAGGGGGGTTCAGATTGGTTTTAAGGGGCTAAAACGGTCTAAACGGGGGTGCCTTATTCTGATTCTGTTGTTTTCTTTTTTATCTTTTGCGAGGAATGAGCCCTCGCAAGGCCTTTGGCCCGACAACATCGGGGCCCCACAGCAAGCCTCGTGCCTGCCCTAAGTGAAGGTGGGCCTGCATTACAACAACTTGAGGCCTTGTTTTTGTCATTTCTACTCTTGGGAGCGCCAGACAGTTACCTTGCACCAGGTGGTTACCGAGCCCACGCCAGTGTGACCACGACATTGTAGGCCCTCTGGGCTCATCCGGGCAGCGACGTGGCTCCAGGCCTTTCGGCCTATCAGAAAGCAGCGAGTGACACTGGCCACGTCGCACAGTTGGTTGCTTAAATGTTGTGGGCCCAGGCTACTATCTGCATCGGGCCTGGGCGCAGACACTTTGGCCCGAAGCTAGGCTACTGGGAACTCGGCCTCCAGCCCCGAATCAGGGCAGCACTGAGGTGCACTTTCCATGTAGGAAAGTGAAGAGCGCTGGGAGGCTCTGGTCTTGCACTACTCGGCGCCAGCACAGCTGGATTGAAAGCTGGAGGATGCTGGGCGCTGGAGGCTGGGCCGCACACCGGTGCACAGATTTGAGAGGCACTGCCAGGGGCAGTGGGCGCATGGCAGCCATTGCCTGGTTGGCTGGGCGGATGCTAACCCTCGGCCAAAAGTCGTTTGCATTGCAATTATATACAACATTGTTTTTTCATCGATTTTTTTTGGGGGCGCTGGGGCTGCCCGGGACCCTGCCCGGGGTTCATGCCCAGCAGGGCACAAACAAGTTGGGTGCTCAGGCACCCGGACAAACAGCCTAGAAAACAGGGCTGGTCCCCTGTTGAACCGGGGGCTCCTCCCCGACCGGGCAGTCAACTGGCCCGGCAGGCCCCCGGTCCAATCCAGCGCACTATGCTTGGGGGGGGGGGGGGAAGGGGAAGTCACGGGCATCCCCGCAATTGCTCAGTCCCCTCTCCTGAAAAAAAAAATTCGGGTCATTTAGGACCACCCTTCTTGAAACGAACAGGCGGAAGATCTCCGCTGCTGATCTTTGCAGATCAGCAGCCGGATACCACCGCACGATTTTCTCAAGATGCAGTGTCCAACAGGCCGCGTTTTTCAATTTGGTATCGTGTGGTCTAATGGACCACGGACTAGATACCTTCGGAAAGACCTGGTAGTCACCCCTCCTCAACCACCAGGAAAACATTATACTGTCCTAGTGTCTTTGCTGAGATTATATGCTTCTGCGACGTCCCTACTCTGTGGGGAAACGGTTATGGGTTTGGGTTCTGGCTCGTGAAGTCAGAGTAACCATGCTGTCCGAGGTGCAAGCCGAAGAATGGACCTAAGCTATATTTTTCTCTCAATCTATCTAGAATGGACCACTGCATCTGGACAGACTTCCAGGCAAGGTACTTTCGGAGAAATCGGCCTGATGACCCACCATATGTAGAAAAAAACAAACTTATAAACACTGGAAAAGAGAAACACAGGATGGGATAAGATAGAATAGTGGACTGCAAACAGTGTTCGTGATGCTCCTCGCAAACAATCAATCTCATACCTTGATATAAGTTGATATAAGCATGTCAAATTCTGTGCAGAGATGCTGGATCCGATTTCCAACAGGTGCAGCTCCCCACCAATAGATGGAGCCGTTTTCAACCAAAAAGAAAAAGAAAAAGAAAAAGAAAGTTTAAAAAACAGAAGGGAAAGAAAAAACAGATAACGATCTGCCTGCACGAGGTGAAATCTGAACCCATAACTTTTCTGCTGTCGGGCTATACTCTGGAAGAGCTATAAGTTTTGGCAAGGACCCCCTCCTTCATCACATCCCGTTCAGCCTATGGGGTACCGATATCTGATGGCAAAGGCATAGTCCACAATACTCTATGGTGCTGAAGTGAAATTCTTGGGACACGGGGTGGTCAGATAAGTAAGCTTGCTTACACGACCCCTCCCCCTGAAAGCCATATCAACTGAATATCCCAATAAAACTTACGCCCCCCTCCCTCCCCCCCCAAAAAAAAAAAATAATAATAAAAATTGCACCTTCAAAATTTTATTGCGGATTTCGACAGCTCTCGAAGAGCGCAGTCAGAATCCGGCAGGAGAAAAAAAAGTTATAGAAAAATTGGGCATTTTTTCTAAGACCGGTTTCCCAGTTCAGCCACTATGGGCTGGTTCGGCTCCGGCTGGACCAGGCGGAGCTGAACCGGGCGGTTGCCGGCCCCAGCCCTGCTAGAAAACGCATTAATTCATGAATATGAACTTTTATGAAGGAATTAGTATCCACAACATTTTCATGCCTGGCCGGGGACCAGGGCGTGTATTCGGGCACAAGTTTGGTGCACGGATAAACAGCCTAGAAAACGCATTAATTCCTAAACAAGTGGACCCGCCGCAGCTACGCCGCGGCAGAGGAGAGGGATGAAGAGGGGGGCAGGGCTGTCGTTGTTACGCTGCTGGGTTTTTTTATCAATTTTTATTTTTTTTTGTCGTCATATTCGCTATACACTAAAAAAAAACATGACTGTGTCAGACTGTTTCTGAGTAATCAGGAGGTTGTGTGTGTGTGTGTGTGAGAGAGAGAGAGTGTCTCTCTCTCTCTCTCTCTCTCTCTCTCTCTCTCTCTCTCTCTCTCATCCCATCGATGGAAGTAGGCTCTCTCTGCCTGTCTGCGTGCATGGCTGGAAAACTCTCTCTCTCTCTCTCTCTCTCTCTCTCTCTCTCTCTCTCT